TAAAAAACACAATTATTTGTAAATATTTCTTTATTAACCATTTAATATTAAATAATAACGATTAATTATTATATGTCCAAACAATTATATTTATTAAATTTGTTATTTATCATTTACTACTTATTTTGTACTATCCGTCGTCATTTACTATTTACTAACCGCCAACTTCTATTCATTACCGCTACCCACTATCCGCTCCCTATTGTCCAGTATGAGCTGAATTTTCACCGATGTACGAAACAGTTCCTTTAACAGTAGGTTTTTTTGCCTCTTTCCTCGTTCCGTTCCCCGTTCCCTATCCCGGTGGTCCCTCCGTTCTCCATTCCAGTCAGCGCCGTTTAGGAACGAAGAGAGTTGGAGTGGGTCTTCGAGCCAAGTGGTGAGATAGCAGCGCATCTTCCTGATCTGTTCCTTATCGTGGCCGTCGGATCAAATCACGGGTTCTCCTGGCCGACCAAGCTTTGTCTCAATCCAACGTTGCTAGCCCCAATTCCTGGCTTCTCCCTCCAAATCGAAGACAAATTTTGAACAAGAAGTCAAAATCTTCAACAACCCAGTGCAGAAGAAAAATAGCAAACGGTGCAGTTGTAACTATGTGTAACTATAGGAAGAGGAGACTTCTGTTCTGGGTTCCTTTTGGTATAAATCGGCTGAGGTTTTTTTAGGGAGGAGAAATAGGAGAGTCCTGTCTGCTTGCGGGCCAGCAGAGAGAGAAGCAAGAGTTTTCTGAGTTTGGTTAGTGGGATTTCTTGGTAATGGAGCATACAGAACTCGAATTTGAAGCTGAAGAAACAGAATTTAATCTGTAATTCAACTCCCCGCGAGCAATACAAAGAAGATTTCTATTCAGCCTAAGGTATTTTTTAATTTTTTGCCTAAATTAAAGTTTGGATTTGGCTTCAGGTCTCCTTTGATTCGGTTTTCTGCTTTGTTCTACGTTCTATGATCTGCATTTAGATTGGAAATTTATGGTTGCTTATATATGAGTTTATGCTGTGTTTTACGGACCTTTCCGGACTGATGTTTTGTTGGTTGATGAATTCTTCACTATACTGGTTTCTGTGTGTTACTTGTTTGTCTGATATTGAAACTGAAGTACTATATTCCTTGTTTTGGATTTGGTTGTCGAATAATCGATTTAGCTATTTCTTTGTGCTGGACGTGGTTGTCGAATAATTGATTTTGCTATTATTTGTGCTTTCCTCGTACTCTGTTTAAAGTCTGAGTTTAATTTTCCTGAGTCCTTGTCTGATTTTAGCTGCCTATTGTGCATGTTTTTTTTTTTTCAGTTCATGTATATGAATTCTGTGGGTTGGGCGGTCATGAATTAGATGGAGTTCTAGGTGTTTTTCCTTGTTCCTGGCATGTTCTGGCTGCAATTCTTTTCATAAATCACCATAAGCTTTAGTTCTTTGTTTAGAACTTTTTCCCACATGTTCATGATTTTCTTATTTTTGTGGAACCCTTGCAAGTCTTACCATTGCTGTTCAATATTTGGAATGAGACTTTATAAAGTATGGAGTCATGTTCCAGTTGAAAATTTAATATCCATTTATTTGCCTTTGTTCATCCTTGAGTCCATTAAGTCTGATTTTGCTTTTAATGTTTAAGTTCCATTTCTAGGTTCATGATTGCCTTTGCTTTGGCTCCTGTCGTTGGAATCCTTCATTTAGGGAATGAGTCAAATGTGTTCAGGTTTTGTGCTATTTAAAAGCATGTTATTGACGTCTTAATTTTATTGCCTATATATACATTAATTTTTCTGGAATGGTTAATTTTTTGGAATATTCTATATGCTTGTATTCACTGCCTGACATGGTTTCTCTCCTTCTTGCACTTTATGTAGTCCATTGCATTTGATTCAAGGAACTAGACACACAGAATGAAATATTGGAAGAAACAATTTTGTTGTACTTGACTCAAAGTGATTTGTCATTTTGGCAGATAGGTACCAGAAGAGTGCATTTAGCTGAGTTGTAGACTCAAACTCATGATTTTTCACCATAGAAGCAAGCGTCTGAGAATGCACAGAAAATGTTTGAGTAAATTCCTGTGAGAACTGAGAAGCTAAAGCACTTACAAAAAGAGAAAACAAAAGATGGTCCCAAAGTCACTACAAGCATTGGGTAAAGGCGCTGCCTTCATTTTAGGAGGATTTATCACTGTCAATATTGCTACCTCTGCTGCTGTTGCTGCATTTCGCTCTATTGTTGAAGAGAAACGGGTAAACCCCTGCAAGGGCTTTCCTTTTGATTTTCTAATTTTTAAACAAGGGAATTTTTTGGGCGAGGGGGAGCAACCACAACCAACAACACTCCTTGATAATGGTATTGTTGGCGTTGGTTCACTGGGACATTCCTTTTTTTCTTGTTTATTCTATTTATATAAATTAGTGATGATAATGTGATTGGATTTTCTTTTTATTTTCTTGTAGAAAAAGTTTGCATTGCCATGTGGGGTTTGTAAGGGGAAAGGGTTTTACATATGCAAGCTATGCCAGGGTAATGCCACTATAAAGTGGTCACCTTTGTATGATCCCATTCATATCAACCCTTGCGTTTGCCCTACATGTGAAGGTAACAGGTTGGTCATCAACTAACCATCCCTTTCATTCTTTGCTTTTCAAATTTTGTTTTTCAGTTTTTCTTAAATGCTTTGTTTGAAGCAACCGCTTCAACCGCAAAAGATTATATACTTTTCTTCAAATTCCTTCTTTGTGAGACAATCTCATGATGGTTTGGACTCTTTCTCATGGTATTACAGGGTGCAGCACTGCCTGAACTGTCTTGGAAAGGGCTATAATTGACTTGTAAAGAGTTTCAGTACTGGTATAGTGGTACTGGTATAGTGGCACTAAATGTTTCTACATATGCATTTCAGTCTCTGAGTGAATAATTTTCTGATAGATGTCATTCTACATTGGTAATCAGTATATAGAAACTGAGAATGAAATTATGCTAATGATTAACAATCGTTATTATTTGGTAATCTTGTTGTGGTTCATAATTTTACTGAAGTCAGAATGGTTATTAGATGACTGCTGGTAGTTACCTGTATCAATGATTGGAATCTTGTGATAGCTGATAACATGGTGCTTAAACATGGACCCTAGTATGAAACTATACTTGATTACATGAAATTTTTCTCGGATAAGTTTGTTTACATTGAGACGAGATAAATTATTACTTTAAGAACAAATGTATGTCACTTGTTTTAAAGTTCTATACCTTTTTTTTTTTTAAAGGTTTATACTTGCTAGACTGGAGGACGAAGTTAGTTGTACGGAGTATTTATTTCGATCTTTTAAAAATAACAATTAGTTATTGGTTTTAATCAAATAAATAAATAATTTAAATTATAAATAACAATAATTATTAATTATTAGATATTAACTATTAATTATTAAATATATCAAAAAAAAAAAAATAACAATCTAAACAGCCTCATACACTCTTATAAAATGGTAAAGTGGTTGTGTAGTGTTCAATAAATCCTAGATAGCGTCTTGCTTGTAGCCTCATATATAGAACATCATTAGCACAGCTCGATCTAAAATTCTGAGTCTCCTGGGCACCATTGATTATTCACACGTGGAGTAGGCGAAGAATGAAGTCTTTAGTTTAGGGTTATAATCATTTGTCCCTGCGTGGCGCCTCTATGATTCATTCAATGATCCACATTTAAAAATTAACTAACTAGAAATACGCATTATGTTAGAGTGTACTTATAAGTGTGTATTTTCTCTTCTACTAGAGTGATGCACTCCAACACTGTAATAAGGGTCTTGTGTTCAAATTCGCTTTTGAATTTCTCTAGCTCCTCGGTAGCAATTTTATCTTTTTTAATAGTCAAAGTATCTTTGAATTAGGTTTTGTATAATTTGAAATTAATTTTTTTCCAAACACTTTTAAAAGAGTACCTCTAATATCGATGTAGTATATTTTAAAAAATTATCTAAGTGTTGGCTTTCACTTTTAAACTATCCATTCGATTTACGAGTCAAACAGTTGTTTACTATTGAATCTAACACTTGAGGTTATAATTAACATATAATAGTTATCAACTTAATTAAACTAAACTCTTATTAGTAATCTTGTGTTTTTTAATTTATGTTGAGCAAGTTGATAACTTCAACCTCTCTTCTTCTTTTTTTCTTTTTTTTTTGGATTTTAGGTTGTTTAATACTACAATAAGAAGCCTCCTATCACTTAACTTGACCATATCATATAATTTGAATTAGATATCTCATACTTTTACAAAAAGGAGGTGTTTACACTCATTTTTGCAAAATTATTAAAAGACATCACGTGTTAATAAGAGTTTAGTTTAGTTAAATTAATAACTACTAACCATAAAATGGTTAAGTTGGTTAAATTGCTCAAATTTTTAAGTTTAGGGGTTTAATCAAGAATCTGGGATAAGATTGGGGGCTTAACAGAGAGTTTTGCCAAAAATGAAAAATTATCTAGTCGTCTCTGCTCCGCCGGTGAGCTCCTCAGATTGTCTAACTATCGCTGAAATGGAAAACAACCCTTTTACTGAAGTCGACGCCACCACTAGTGACGTTTCTACTGAAGCCAATCCTTCTGTTTCTTCGAACTCAGCTGAATCTCATCTTAATCACCTCAACAATGGCAGCACTGAGGCTGTAGCGAAAGCTTTATCATCAATGCTCACCTCTCTCATCCAAGACTTCGATTCCAAAGCTCAAAACGCCCTCGACAGCCAAGACCAGCTAAATTCCGCCCTGGATCGTCTTACCCGAGGTTTGTAAATTTTCATTTCTCTTTAATTCTCTTTAATTTTCATCCTCTTTAGTTCTATAAAATGAAAGAAACAGAAAAATGCAAAATTATATCTGTAGCAACAATTTGTTGAGAGCATGAGAATTCTGAATTTTTTTATTTATTTGGTAGTTTAAGCTTTGATTTTTTTCTTTAAACCTTGTTATTCTGAATCAGTCAAGATATGGATGCAATGATAATTTTTGGTGGGATTTTTCTCTAAATAGTCTAGTAAGTTTCAATTGCTAAATTTTAAAGTAATGTGATGACATATAATTCAATTTCATTCACAGAGTTGGATCAGTTATTGGAGGATGCTCCTTTGCCATTCATTATCCAGCATGCATCCAAGATTTCTGGTGTTAGAAAGAGAGTTTCATCATTGAACTCAGTTCTGAAATCGATTCAATGGCGTGTTGATAGTATAGACAGAATACTACAAACTGGCATGCTACATGGTAAGTAAATTATTTTCATGATAGTTTCATTTTTTGATATTTAATTAGACATAGGTAGGATATAATCATAATGATGAATTCTATTCTTATTCTTTTGATCAGTCTGACGTTTTTAAAAAAATGCTTTTAATGACTTGAGTCTGACTATTTTTATTATCCACAGTTACCATATTTTGTATTTGATCATGATATGTGAGCTGTGCAAGGCTCTTAACTTTCTGGCAAATATAGATTCTACAGTCTATGTTAGCCACTCACTTTGCATACAGTTTATTGAGAAATTAGTCACTTTTCAATAGTTTTGTCTGAAAAACTTAACTTCTAACATTACGAGAAGTTTGAATTATAATTATAATTCATTAAGAGTTAGGATCCACTTACACATAACTCTTACACACATTACTTGCTCAAAATCTTGACCATTCATCTCTCCACCGTAAATGGTTGAGATTTATCCACTTTTTATTATATTTTTTAAAGATAATTGTCTTTTTCATCTAAAAAGTTGTGATAAATCTCAATCATTCATAGTGTAGAGATGAGAGATTTTGTGATCAATGATCAAAGTACATTAACCTTTACAAAATTTTCATTTTGCAATGTCATTGTATGAACTGCATCAGCTTATCAAGTAATGCTGCTTTCAACAATGCCAGTTAAAGGTGTTATTTGGATTGACTAGAACAGAGTTGTGCAGGCAGACTGGATGAGGATAAAAGATTATAAATAGAATTAGAATAGTTGCTTGTCTAGTAACATAGAAGTCTAATAAGCATGGAGAATGGAGATTACTTCATGTTGAAGATGTTTTGTGATTGCCAATTAAGATGCACTGGTGAATAGACACTAACATAAAATTTAAGAAAGAGAATGGAATCCATTGATTCATTTTTATTCCATTTAAGGAGAAAAGAGAAGGGGGCAAATATGCACCATTATGGTGCTACTGAAGTGCAGAATTAACATTTTGTGATTGACAATTAACATTCACTATTTAGGCATTCAAATGAAGCACAAAATTCCTGGCGGAAAAGCCATGTTCTTCGTGAACTTGCAGAAGTAAGGTGAGTGTCTAGGGAATTTTCTCTCAGATCAAGATAAGTTTTTGAAGAAGTTACACTCTTCAGAACTTCAGTCATAATAGGCTACTAGTTCAGTAAATTTGTTCCTATCATGGAAGTGTGGCAGAATAGTTCATCTGGAGAAAGCATGGAGATTTAGAAATGGTACTGGATGAAGTTTTGAATGAAAGAGAAAAAGAAACAAAGAAGTTGCTTGTGTTGGATAAACTAATAGCTGCATAAACAATATTTGGATGAGCATCATACACCTATGAAAAAAGTATTTCTGTCTAAAAGCTAGATAGTTTTGAATTTTTTATTTTTGGCATTTGTATTGATTTGATGCTGCTACTGCTTTAGCAATTATTTATGTTGTTATTGTTATTAGTAAGAATACATAATTTCAGTCTCCAAGTTGTCTCAATTGAGCATCTCAGCCACCAAACTTTTATTTTGCATTCAAACCATCAATAATTCATGATATTGCAATATGCTGCAATTTTTAAAAGGTGCACAAGAATTGCCATTAATTCCTTTTTTTTTTTTTTTTCTTCAGTCAAATAGGCTAAACTTGGCATAAAATATTCAGAATTCAAATTAAAATATTCAAAATTCAAATTTAGATAGAAGATGTGAGCAGAATTAAACCTACATAGTACCTAAAGCATGTCTTCTATCCTTCCACCTAAAAAAGGAAATAAAAGGCAGAATCTATGTGAAATTAAGAGGAAAAAGATCAACTGAACTCTACAATCATCATCTTTCCAAAACATCCACTTGCTCAGCTGACTCT